CCTGCCTTGGATCCTGGCTCTCCTATTTCCCGACATTTAGTGAGCAGGGTTCCCACTCTCCTGTCCCTCAGCGCACCTTTCATGCTTCACTCCTGCCTCTGAGTTGATAAGCTGGTGTTGGACATCTTCATCCAGAGGAACCACCCCTGTCCCCACAGAGCTCACCTCCCCTCCACCTGCCTGCCCTGTCCCGTGGGCGGGCAAAGGCAAAGAAAGACTTCACACCTTGCCACTGAGCATCCACAGCAACCACGCTGTGCCGGTGAGCCCTGTGACCGTAGACTATAACTATGAGAGCCTAGGAGGATTTGCAACCACACGGCCGAGCAGACCAGAGAGGGCTTCCTGGAAGATGTGGTCCTTGGACTAACCCTTACCCTCAGCCAGGAAAAGGACCCGGGGTGGGAGGAGGAAGAGGTGCAAGCTCTGAGAGCAGCCGCAGGGTGAAGGTGCCCTTTCACTTTTCCTCTTCGCCTCTATCATTTCCACGTCCTTCTTGCTAACCTCCCCTGGCAGCTGTTGTGAGTCACCTACCCCATACCCACTTCTCTCGGGAATGAGTGGAAAAGGGAAACATTACCAGTCTCCCCGAATTCAGGTGGAGGCCTTGAAGACATCTCCCTGAGAGAAAGGAAGTGTGCGTTCTTTACTCCGCTCCTGCCTGGGGTCTGGAAGGGGGAGGTGAGGATCAGAGCACTAGCAATCCCCTCGGATGGAGGCAGAGGAACTCGGGAAGTGGAGGCAGAAGCAGGAAGCTCCTTGACAACGTCATGAAGCCAGCTTGCCTTGGCGATTTCTTTTACATAACAAACAAGTGAACGATGACCTCCTCTGGGTCATTCCCAATGAGCATTCTTTCTATCACACGCAGCTGCTCCTAAGTGATCCACCTTTCAGACCGTCCTGGCTCACAAATAAGAATCATTCCCTTGTCTAGATTCATAGCGCTTGTTTGCACCACTCACTGGACCATAAATCTCTGCCCGGAGACAACGGCTGAGGGGCTATTTCACTTCTCCTGGATTTACATAAACCTTCCCAACAAGTTCCAAGCTTCTGCAGGAAGAGCATCAGGCCATATATTTTCGCCGTCACTCAGTTCCAGGCCCATTGCCTGGCAGCGCGTGCAGGCTTAATAGATGCTCACTGTTGGATTATGCCACCATTGCCCTTCAGGATAAACGTGGGACTTTTAAATCTTTGTTTCAAACTCTTCGGAAAGAGCAATAACAGAGTAAAGAAAAATATCCCCTCTAAGGAAAAAAAAAAGACACTCAATCCGCAGAGTAATGGCTCTGGGATGCCATCATATGACAAGGCGTGGCCAAGAAATCACGTTGCTTTCTTGGAAATAGGCCCTGGCCTATCTGGCTCTGTGGATAGAGCGTCAGCCTGCAGACTGAAGGGTCCAGGGCGCATGCCCAGGTTGTGGGCTTGACCTCATGTGGGGCATGCAAGAGGCAGCGGATCAATGATTCTCTCATCATTGATGTTTCTCTCTCTCCCTCCCTCCCTTTCTCTCTGACATATATATAATTTGAAATTAGCCTTCTTCTTTTTTCAAATATTTTATTAATTTTTTACAGAGAGGGAGAGGGATAGAGAGTTAGAAATATCGATGAGAGAGAAATATCGATAAGCTGCCTCCTGTACACCCCCTACTGGGGATGTGCCTGCAACCAAGATACATGCCCTTGACCAGAATCGAACCTGGAATCCTTGAGTCCACAGGCCAATGTTCTATCCACTGAGCCAAACCAGCTAGGGCTAAAAATATATTTTTAAAAAAGAAACAGTCATTGGAAGCACAGAGACCCCCCTTCCAGGCAGAAGCCAGCCCACCTGTGAGCAGAGCCTCGCCCTCTCAGCTTGTCACCGCGGAGATGTGTGACCCTGGAAACACAACCTCACCCATGCAGAAGCTGTTTGTGCTGAGGGTCAGATTGCCCTACACACGCTTGCTTTCCATGTCTCCCTCCCAGACACAGCCTTCCTTCCCACGTGCACAAACCCAGGGTGTGCCTCACCCTGCAGAGCCTCTGACTTGTCTTTGAAAGCCTTCAGGGCCCTGTGCTCGGGGCTGCCTACCTCCCTGCCAGCACTGTGTCTGAAGACGGTCCTTAACACTTACCCTCACAGCTGTGGGCTAAGGCCAGGGAAACTGAGGAAGGGGGGGTGGGGCAAGAACATCTGTATATCTACCAAATGCAAAAACTGAAAAAGGAAAAAACACAGGAAAGACGATGTACAATATCCAAAGAAAACAAAACCACTGTCTAATGGGCTTTCTCTTCGCCAGCTCTGAAGCTAGGCACTTGCTTCCTCCCTGTTAACATTTGCCTTTTGAGTAATTTTTTCCATTGTAAGCACTTTCTAAAAAATCGTTTTCACACATTTCTCCGATACTTGATTCCTTTCAGCATTCCTCTATGCACACATTCTGGACCCCAGCTCTAAATAGAAAAGACTTTTATTATGTCCATTAACCATGGACATATGTGCTCCACAAGGTTCCTGACACGCAGCCACTTGTGGTTTTTAATTATAAACAGAAAATATTCACTAGGAAAATAAAGAAGCAAGCCCATAAATGCATCTTTGTGCATTTGCGTTTTGCTCATATACGGCAATGCATTTGGATACATGGCCCTCCTGGCTGCCTGCTCCAGGGTGAGAGCATTTAGAAACACACAGAGAGGAACATACACTCCACATGTACAGTCACGCCCATGCATTGTACTGGACTTGGACATCTTGAACTTAGAGTACCGCTGTCTTTTTGTTAATTTCAGAGAGAAAGGGAGAGAGAGAGAAACATCAATGATGAGAGAATCACTGATCGGCTCCTGCATGTCCTCTATTGGGAACAAGATCATAGCCGGGGCATGTGTCTGACCGGGAATCCAACCGTGACTCCTGGTTCATAGGTTGATGCTGAACCACTGAGCCATGCTGGCTGGGCCCATTTCTTTTTTCTAAAATAAAGAAACGGGTTTTCGTTTTTCCCCGAAAGATGGCTGCCCAGGTAAACACCTAGCCGCAGCTGCACACAACAATTTCAATAAAATACAACTAAAATATAAAACGGACATTACCCAGAACTACAGGAAAGTCGACTGACTGGAAATTCTACAACGAGAAGCAAGGAGAAAACCAGAAGGAAGCGTGGAGGAGCTGTAAAAGCCTAAGGTACGGAGTCACGTGGTGCATGGAGAGGACGGAGCCAGAGAGGAGGGAGGCTGAGTGCCTGGCGGGCGTTCCCTACGGGAAGGAGATAAAAGCTCTGACTGTGCTGGGCCCCAGTTCCGACTGCTCTGAACCCCAGTTCTAGGCCAGACCCCGGGACCCAGGCTCAAACAGAGGGAGCTGGGCTGTAAGGCGGAACCCCGGGGGAGCAGCGAAAGGAGGTCCCGGAGGTGCACAGGACGGTTGGCTGTGCCACGGTATTGCCCTGGTGGGAAGGAGACTGGGGCTCCAGACTGCTCTGAATGCCACCTCCAACTCTACTTCCAACTTAACTGAACCCCAATACCGGGCTCATTGGGGGAGAACCTAGACTGTTTGGTAGCAGGCGAAAATCCAGGGCACCTTTCTCTCAGAGGCGCTTACAATGAGTACTGAAGGACCCTGAGACCAAGGAGCTGCATAGGGCAGGGCTGAAACCCTGCCCCATCTGTAGCTGCAAAATGCGACAACAAAATAGATCACAAAGGAAAGAAATGGAGGACAAAAAGTGACTGGATATAGAGTTCAAATCTACGCTTATAAGGTTTTTCAAGGATTTCCTAGAAAAGATCTATAAAACCTATGAGGAAATGAAAAGAGATCAACTAGAATTAATAAGGAATCAACAAGAAATGATAAGGGATCAACAAGAAATAAAGAATACATTGTCTGAAATAAAAAATATTATACAGAGTCCTAAAAACAGAATGGAAGATTGCAAGAATCAAGTCAAAGATTTGGAACATAAAGAGCCAGAAGACACTTCTCCACAGAAGCTAGAAGGCAAGAGAATCCAGAAAATTGAAGATAATGTAAGAAACCTCTGGGACAACTTCAAGCGAACCAACATCAGAATTATGGGGGTCCCAGAAGATGAGAGAGAGCAAGATATCGAAAACATACTGAAAGAAATAGTGACAGAAAAATTCCCCCACCTGGTGAAAGAATTAGACTTACAAGTCCAGGAAGCGCACAGAACTCCAAACAAAAGGAATCCAAAGACGACCACAACAAGACAAATCATAATTAAAATCCCAAGAGCAAAAGACAAAGAGAGAATATTAAAAGCAGCAAGAGCAAAGAAGGTAGTTACCTATAAAGGAGCACCTATACGATTGTCAGCTGATTTCTCAACAGAAACCATGCAGGCCAGACGGGAATGGCAAGAAATATTCAAGGTGATGAATAGCAAGAACCTACAGCCAAAGATAATCTATCCAGCAAAGCTATCACTCAGAATCGAAGGCCAGATAAAGAGCTTCACTAATAAAAAAAAAGCTAAAGGAGTTCATCACCACCAAACCAGAATTATATGAATTGCTAAAGGGGGTTCTTTCAGAAGAGAAAGTAAATAAAGATAAAAATTATGAACAACAAATACGTAACTATCAACAAGTGAATCTAAAAACCAAGGAAATTAAAAAAAAAACTGATGAACAATATTAAGTGTTGAATATAATAGAATCATAGGTATGGAAGGGGAGTGAACTGACGATTCTTGGGGAAAAGGGGAGAGGGGGATGTGGGAAGAGACTGAACATAAACTGTGCACCTATGGATGAGGACAATGGGGAGTGGGGAAAGGGCAGAGGGTGGGGTGGGAACCTGGTGGAGGAGAGCAATGGTAGGGGGGAAAAAAGGAACATTTGTAATTTTTATAACAATAAAAATTTATTTAAAAAAAAGAAAAGAAACGGGTTTTCCTCACCATCTCTCACTCTACATGAAGGTGAATTGGCAAAGGCAACGCCCAGTAAAATACGTGACAAACAACGTCATATTTATTGAATGCGTTTTATTTTAACAACCAAAAAATTCTAACAGCCTAACAATGCACATAAGTTAAAAATTAATTATCACTTAGTGATAACAAAGATAGTTGATTTACATGGAAAAAAGGAACATTTACAATATGTTAATCCTTATTCACATTGTTGATACCGCAATAAAACACAATTTGTTTTTTTCATTTCACACACACACAAAAAGGCGGGAAATTGTGCTTTGTCAAGAGGCACTACAAGAGAAAGTTTTCTTCTTCTTCCAAATAGATATTATATGACAGATATTGAATAAATAGACATATATGCATTGTAATTCGCAAAGATCTGGCAAGACCACAGGCTAAAATGCCCACAGATTCACTTAGAACCACTGCAAACTCGGCAGTGAAATTAAAAAATAAAAAGGCAAGACTTAGCATTGAAAAATACCTAATAAATTTTTGGTTGAAGTGTAAAAGATACCAAATGCGGATGCCATCGGTCGATGAACCACCTTGTAAGAGCTTGGCAAATCAGTTTCCGTGACGTGGACAGAGTGACCTTCAGCGACAGTGTAAGAAGACAATTTGGAGAGAGTAACTCGGAGATCAGGGGGCAGCCGCGGCCGTTCTGGTTGCAGCCGCAGAGCGCTACAGAAGTGGGGGAGGGGAGGCTGGGCCCAGGCCTTAACCGCAAACAACCATCCTTTCGCAAAGGTAGGTGATGCTCGTGTGGAGAATAACCTTTTCAACATCGGTATTGGGAAAAGCACAGGAAAAATGTCCCTTTAAAAACTCCAGAGGTTACTGAGCAGCTAGAATTAGCTTGTATTGCAACGTCTTCTCCCTGTATAGTGTAAGTTCTGAGTTAATATCTACACATAGAGGTTTGTCTTTTTTTTTTTTTAAACTCCTACCTTTTATACCTTTCAAATATATAAATAGTATTAACAGTTATATTACAATGGTTGTGTAGTAAACAGAAAATAACTTTCAAAGTGATATTGCATGAGGTCTTTGACAAGGTTGCATGAGAGCACAACTCAAAAAGATAAAAAATAAAAAATTCCAACGGTGTGGGGCTGTCCCGCCGGCCTCCGGGCCGGTCCTGGAGGCGAGGTCTCCTCTGGCAACGACTCGCATGGAAGTGGGTGGCGATGCTACACGTGTGTCTGAGAGGAAACTAAAGGCCGGGGAGGTGTGGCAGAATGCATGCAGCGGTAGTGCCCACTCCGCTCAGCAGCCCATGGCATCCGTTCTGCTTTAGTACAAGTATCTGCGGAGTGGGTAACTGGGAAAACCTTTCCGTTGGTGACAAGCTGGTGATTCCACTGCAATGGCATCACCTACGCAAGCCCGGGCTCTTGGGAGGGCTGCCTCGCGGAGGCTGCTGGAGCAGGAATGAGAGTGTCCGGTGGGGGGGGGACAGGATGTGCAGGAAGGAGAGGAAGCCCAGAGTGAAACAGGAGTGAGAGATGCCTTTTGGGGGACGGAGGGAGCTGTATTGGAGAGGGAGCCCCTTTAATTGGGCAGCAACTTCTTTTCTAACTTAACATTACATGGAACTATCTTCTATTTAAAAACAAAAACAAAGACAAAAGAAAACAGCAACAAACAACTTTTAAATGAGCAGGCTTATTCATTGTAAGCCACGAGCAGGTAAATAAGTTTCACAAAAATGTGGCTCATACTAACGTCAAAATGGCGTTTTTATCGAGACCACGCTATAACGTCCAAGTTTTCTCTGCACCGAATTTCCGGTTTACTCATTTGGAATTCCACAGAAACACGTCTGTTCACTAAAGCAACGACAGGTTGGATTACAGAACATATCGAGTCAGGTTAAGTGTGCATTGTGTCTTTAAGAGTAATTGGACTTGTATCATTTAAGGTGCCCTGATTTTTTTCCCTTTACGTTCTTCTTCTTTCTCTCTCTCTCTTTTTATTTTATTTATTTTTTTTGGCAGTGTTGATTTGTTTTGTTAAATACATACCTCAAAAATTACCCATCAAGCTGCCAGATAGGAAGCCATAGAATTAAAAAAAGGAAAATCAGGGATAAACACAGAAAATAAATAGGAATTCAAAAATAGTCACCCCACCCTGAGAGCAGGCCGAAGTTTATCCAAAAGCCAAAGCGACTCACTGTGAAGTGGTTTTTGTGAATCATACATGAACAAGTCTCTTCTTTAAGAACTCATTTCACAGTCTCTTCTTCCCGATGGTCAAGTTCTCTGTCCCATGCAATTCTCATATATATATATTTATATATGTAAATATATAGATATATACATATACACACACACACACACACACACACACACACACACACACACGTCGCTTCCTTCATGTGTTTTGTCCGTCTTTTCCTCCCGGAACTCGCCCCCTGGCTCTTCGATTAAGTGCAAGAACCGCGAAGGCAGAGTCTCCCAGGATCGGCATGACTGCGAGCCAGCCGGTGGCCGGAGGGTAACACTTGAGTGTCTTTGCCAAGGCGACTTCTGATTCGGAAATACTGAACGTACTCACTCTACAGGTGTGTCCTGTGCAACAAAGAAATGTCAAAACAAAATGGGTAAGAAAAAACAAACAAACAACAAAAAAAAAGAGACAAAAATAAAATAAAGCCAAAAAAAAAATTTTTTTTTTTTTTTAAAGCAACGAAGACAGAAAATCCTTGGACCCATGTATTGCTGTGCCAGGTGGGGCTTCACATTATCTCTGGTCGCCGTCCGCGGGCGCGGCCTTGGCCTTGTCCGCGCCCTCTTCCTCGGCCTCCACCTTGAACATCTCCTCGGAGCCCTCCTCGCTGTCGTTCTCCTCCGACTCGGTCAGCAGCTCCTCGTCCTTGTACTCAGCCACGTCCACCGCGGCGCCCAGGTGCTCCTTGAGCTTGCCATGGTGCTTCACGTGGTACCGCTGGTTCTGGAAGAACTTGATGATGGTGTGCTTGGGCAGGTCCAGCTGCGCGGACAGCGTGTGGATGGCCTCCTGGTCGGGGTACAGGCCCACATCGTGGATGAAGCTCTGCAGGATCCCCAGGGCCTCCAGGGAGATCTTGGTGCGGGACCGGGGCTTTTTGGCACAACTGTCTTCACTGGGCGGGGGCGCGGGCGGGGCCTCCTCACGGGGAGGGGAGCTCTCCTTGGTGGGCTGGGACTGCTGCCTGTGGAGGACCTGGTGAGGCAAACGGAAAGAAGGTTAACGTGGGACTCATAGTGCGACCTTTGTCGAGATGTCGTCCTCTGCAAGACGGGCTGTCTGTGCAGCAGGGCTGTCTGTGCTCACCTGGAATGCAGGACTCCAGAAAGCCCAAGAGCACTGCTGGAGATGTAGACTCCCATCTACAAGAGGTTAGTAAGAGCCTGGCCCTGGTGGCTCAGTGGTGGAGCTTCAACCTATGAACCAGGAAGTCATGGTTCGATTCCCGGTCGGCACCCATGCCCAACTTGCGGGCTCCATCTCCAGTGGGGGGCATGCAGGAAGCAGCCGATCCAAGGTTCTCTCTCATCATGGATGTTTCTAGCTCCCTCTCCCCTCCTCTCTGAAATCAATACAAATATTTTTTAAAGGTTGGTAATAGAGATGTTGGCGAATATTTACAGTGAGGCACCAAGACGTTGGTCATGTGGCCAAGATCATTTGAATTCAAGCAATCTGGCTCCAGGGTCCTCCTGGCTGTCAGCCAGCATGATGTGCCTGCCACTTCCCCAAAAGCCAAGGCCAAAGGAACCAGACTCAGAAGGAACATGCAGGCTCTGCAATGACAACCCACGGGTTCAAGTCCAGGTGCTTCCACTTAGCTAGGCATCCTTGTGCCAGACCCTGAGCATCTTCAAGCCCAATCTCCTCACCTATCACAGAAGGATGGGACCACCTTCCTCAGGATGAGGCACCAAGGAGTAAATGGCATAATGCATGTAGGAGCAGAGCCCACCTGAAGTCAGAGGCTGATCAACGTTTCCACTGGAGGGCCAGGGAGCAGATAGTGCAGTCTCTGTTAAATGACTCAACTCTACCTTTACAGCAGGAAACCAGCCGTCAGTAACAGACACACCAACAACCATGGTGACGTTTCAATACCATTATATTCACAAAAACAGGTGGCAAACTGAGCCTGGCCCATGGGCCACGGTGGATCCACTTCTGGCTTCGGGCAGACTTCCAGGAAATGACAGCCATTGTGACCATCAGCCTCACAGTCACGCTTAGAGGAATCGTGAATATTGCAGCCAGAAAACCAATGCTTCCTAACACTGTGAACTTTTTTATAGTTTCTCTTGGCTCTGATTTTTGATCCTTAAATATATATTTTCAAATAAAAACTTGCACATTAATTGAAAGGTAAAACGTTTTTTGTGAATTATGAATTTTTAATGGCTGTTTCATAATCAAATAGGTGGACTTTCACAACGTCACTACGAACTATTAAACCTGTTTGGCACACATTGTCTACTTTCTGTATTTCTATCCTTAATATCAAGGTTTTTTTTAGTTGTAATTAATTTAAATTTCTGTTTTATCTCTACCTATCCCACACTTATTAAAAAAAAATAAACTAGTTAGGCAAGCTTTTTTTTTTTTTTTTTTTTTAATCCTCACCCAAGGATATGTTTTTTTCATTGATTCTAGAGAGAGAAGGAGGGAGAGGAAGAGAAACACCATGTGAAAGGGAAACATCATCAGTTGCCTCCCCTACACACCCCAACATAGGAACTACACCCACAACCTGGGTCTGTGCCCTGACTGGAAAGAGAAGCCAGGACCCTTCTGGTGCACTGGGACAGGGCTCTCACCACTGAGCACACCCGCCAGGGTAGCAAGTTTATTCTTGATCTTCAAAATGGCTTCTTAACGATATCCCTCTGCATAAAATAATTCCCCCTTTTAAATCTGACAAAAGAAAGGAAGCAATCCAGAGGAGACTGTCAGAACCACTCCCTGGGCTCTCACCATCGGCCCATGCGAGAAGGGCCGTGTGGGGGAGGCCTGGGTGGAAAGCGGGGAGGGATCCCGAGAAGGAAGCTCAGCTCTGCTCACACCTCGCAAGGGCCGCAGCGATGCGATGCTGTGGAATGAAGAGGCGCCCTCGGTGACCCTCCTTACAAGCTTCTGTCCATTGTACAGGCAAAGGCCGCATCTCTTCCACCCGGATCCTGCCTAACTGCCCGGATCCTGCCAGGCCCTTTAAGAACAGTGAGTGTACTTTCTAAAAACTACACACGCATTCCTCCTCTCACCATTCTCTCCTATTTTATACCATCTTTTTCAGGTTAAAGTAACAAGTTAAATACTTTCCAGAGGTTCGTGAGAAGTCCGTCTAATTGGTGCTGAAGAAAATATGTCTAGTTACATGAAAGAATCACTGGTCTTCCCACCCTCACTGTCACCACCACACACTACCCACGTGACCCGTTTTCCTTTTTTAGTTATAAAACATCACCATCAAAGCAAGTGTTTAAGAAAAAAAATAAACCTCTGGCATTCATCCTCGTCTTAGGGACCATCTGATGAGAAAATAACTACTCAGCAATGTTCTCCTACATAGAATTTAATAAATATTAGGGCAGATGAAATTGTTACCTACAATAACGATAAAAAAGGATGGAACTTTTCAAATATATACATATATATATATATATATATATATATATATACACACACACACACACACACACACACACACACACACACATAACTTTTCAAATAAATATATAACTCATAATCAAGTGACAATCAAGGCAATCATGAAAAGGACAATCCAGTGCAAAAAAAAATATCTCCTGCCAAGACCGGTTTGGCTCAATGGATAGAGTGTCGGCTTGGGGACTGAAAGGTCCCGGGTTCGATTCCGGTCAAGGGCATGTACCTTGGTTGCGGGCATATCCCCAGTAGGGGGTGTGCAAGAGGCATCGATGTTTATCTCTCATCAATGTCTATCTCTCATCGATGTCTCTAACTCTCTATCTCTCTCCCTTCCTCTCTGTACAAAATCAATAAAATATATTAAAAAAATATATATCTCCTTCCAAGCTGGCTGCCGGGAGTGAAAAGGAATCTGAAACAGAGACCATGGAACAGTGGCTCAGGAGGTCCCTGTGATGTTGGCCAATTAAAATGAATGTTCCTGGCATTTGCTTTATCGCTTTCAACTAAGAGCAAACTCGTGTGGTCTGCCGTGGGGAGCTGGCATCAGCAGAAAAGTGAGCCCCATTACTCCGACACCCTAATTACAGCAGCAGGAGCCGTGGAGTGGCGTGGTGGGCCGCACTGCCCATGGCAGCTTTGATGGCAGGAAGACGCCGCCTCTGAGGTCAAAGTGTGGGCAGCCGAGCCCTGCCATCAATGGACCCCTATGTCAACAGGTGAGGGGGGGGCCTTCTGGCGAGAGAGGAGGCCAGAGTTATGTATGGAATACATACATACCCAAAGATCACATACTCAAGCACGAGGACCCCCTATTAGAGCAATTGCATTAATTGGAAAACAAAAGAGAATTAAAACGCCCCATTTTCTAATTATGCCTGCCTTCTGTAGTAAAAGTCAGCACAACGGTTCCATTTAATTAAATCATCAGATTGGTTCTTTAGGGGTTTTCCATTGTGCACTGGTTAGGTTTAAAGAGATTTTTCCAAAACTCTCCTTGGAAGTTACTGTAGTCTTTCCGCAGGACAGGGTCTGTCCGCCCGGCAGGCCCTTGCCACCTCCCTGCTTCATTAGGACACGGCAGCGGCAACACATGCACACAGGAAGCCACACGTGAGACAGGAGCAGCGGGGTCACAGCTGCCCTTGCTGACCGTGGCCCCTGTGCCAGGCCGTGCTGAGAGCTGCCCAGGGTGTTTACCGCCCGCCTGGTGCAGCCGGGAAGTGCTATCTGGATCACCAGCAACCTGAAAACACAGAGCGTCTCAGGAAACCCTTGACATTGGAAATGAAGACCACGGGGTGCTGGGGGTCTGAGGAAGCAGGTGGCCCAGGAACAATGCCAGCCCATCACAGGAGGAGAAGGTGTTTCTCAGAGAAGTAACAATAGCAGACGTAATCTACGAAGTGGACCATCTTGTTTCTGGTCCAGGCCCTACAGTGAGTGGGGCAGCCTGGCACTGGTTCTGTGAACAAGGGTAAGTGATATTTCTAGCTTCATTGAAGAGATAAGGAAAAATGGAGATTGACAAAATGAGTAGCTCTAAGGTCAGACTGTCTTATAAGTCACCAAAAGGACTTACCTAAGGTCTTGGGGTATTTATTATTATTGATTTTTTTTTTTTTTTTAAGAGAGGGAGAAGAAGGGAGAGGGAGTGAGAAACATTGATGTGAGAGTGAAACATCAGTTGACTGCCATAGCTTCTACTGTTGACTTTTCAATATGATAATTAGGGTTAATAGCCCTGAAATTTCTAATTGGCTTCAATAATAAAAGAAAACAAAAATAATGATGGTATTAGTAGGTGGTAGCATTCATAGGAAGTGTATTATGGGCTAAAAAAAACTGGCTTAAATGCTGTAAGTATATTTTATTTTATTTTATTTTCATAGTAATTCTGGAGGTAGGTATTTTTTACCCCATTTTATGATGAGAACACTGGAGTTTGGAGAGTTCAGACAATTTGTCTGGGGCCACAGATCTTATGAGTAGCAGTACCATGATTCTAAAATGTGTCTGTCTGCTTTTAAATCCAATGCCCTTACACATATGTGCCCCTGCCTTCTATGAGCAGGATTACATTGGAAAATTGAACCAAGTCTCTTATTTAAGGTGGCAGACCTTAAATAAAACATCAGATAGCAATAACTCTGATAAGCAATAATAGAGCAACAGATGAGGAGGAAAGGGGAGGGGAGAGGACATTATTTTAGAAACAGTGACTCCCTAAGGAGGAAGCATTTGAGCAGAGGCCGGAGGGAGTGAGGACCAAGCCAAGAAGAACAGCCTCGAATAGCCAGCAGAAGGGCCGGAGGCAGCAAGACACTCGGTGTATTTGAAACATCAAGGAAAACGCCTTGTTAGAGCTCTGCCATTCAACACAACAGCCACTAGCCACACCGCATGCTCACGTGTAGAATGAAATTAATGAAACTGAAAAAGAGAAAGCTCAGTTCCTCAGTCGCGTTAGCCACTTCCCAAGTGCTTGATGGCCACACTGGGCAATACCATCTTGGACATCGCGGACAGGG